CCCCCCCCCCCCCCCCCCCCCCCTCCCCCAACATACAACCTTCTTGTTAAAGCATGAGTTTGCAAACACAGACTTTGGTTTGCAAACACTTGTCTATGCAGTCATGTGGATGAACATCACGTCTGCTCATATCTCAAACTAGCTATTTTGTATCAAGGTCTCAATCGTCTGCTTCCCGTGTCTCCTGTGTCTCATCATGGATGTGTGTCTGGCAGAGGCTACGTCCCACTACGTCCACTACCTGGACACACTACAATATGCTGAGGTTTCAAATGGCAACTTCACCGTGGAAGCTTTGCCCTTAATCAAGCCTCCACGCCAAAGCAAGAAAAGCTTCAAAGAGTTCTTTCACATAGTGCCCAACATTTCCACAGAAGATCAGGAGGTGATTCGCGCTGTCATGTCAGAAGATCCCTTGTGTATCTCACGCTTGCCAAACTCTGTGCGTCCCCGCGATGCACTTGGAACTTCCTGTCACTTGCAGCTCGTTCTCCACCAACATCCTGATGGTTCCTGCACAGCCTTGAAGTTTTTCCATTCCAAGGTGAGCATTCCTATGGGCCTGGCGAGAACACTATGTGAGGATCAAGTCTTGGTGATTGACTACTCCTATGGGACCGGCAACTCTCAAGCTGAGCCAGAGTACTTCTTTCCTTTGTTGCTCTTGGATTTGAACCCAACCTTTCTCAACAAGATTGTGCCCATGATCTTGCCTTTGATGCCGTCCTTTGGCTTGATGGTGCTCGGGAAAGCAGGAGTTGGGAAGACACCTACAGCTCAGATCATGGCGATGGCCGTTGCTCGTCACCTCACATCTTCTCGCAGTTTGTCTGGTTTACCTGGATGGCGGCGCTCCAAGCAAATTGACGGCTTTAGAGAGCGCCCGGGCGAAGTCAACGTCCCAGCTCTCTTGGACGATCCCAACTTGAGCAGCATCAACCTGGAGGACCTCAAATCGTTCTTGGATGTGGGTGAAAACTGCTTGGTGGATGCGCGGTACAGAGCCGCTAAGTTCTCACGGAACCAATGCCGCATTGTCCTCAACAATGAATGGGATGAATCAAAGGAGCCGGACACCTTCTTGTCACACATCACGTGGGAGCAATTCAAGGAAATGTTCCTCACAGCTTGTCAATATCCCAAGTTCCCACACCTGATGGCCATCTTGAAGAGGACCATGGTAATCATTGCTGGGCACAATGGTGTTTACATTCGTCTTCCAAGTGAACACACATCCGAACCAATTCATTGCTTCAATGAGGGCGGTGTGACAGAAGATTGGCTTCAGGAAACTCATAAGAAGTTCTACGGTATGTACAAGCAAGGTGTGCATGAAAAGTATTGTGGTTACGACTCCGCAGTTGAGGAAGAGCAAGCATTGGTTGCAAAACTCTTGGCAACCCCTGAAGAGAAGGACTACATCCACCGTGCTGAAACACATGATCGTTGGCGTCTAGAGGCTGCTCCAGCATCTCCACCGGCTTCTACTGCTGCACTTAGGACGGCTGACGCTTCTCCAATTCATCTCAAGGAAGAAATCACATCACCTGTCACCAAGAAGCCTCGCGCGTGCTTCGGGCTCATTGATGTGGACGCAGAGGCAGAGGAGCTTGAGCTTGGCGAGTTTGATGATGTCTTTGGCCATGGTGATATGGAGTAGTGATCAGCTCTTAGAGACATACCTTACTGAGAGAGTAGCGTCCTTTGTGTAGCAGTCTCAACCATTTTGACCTGGTGGCTGGTGTCATATAAAAAAACTCTCATTCTCAGTGTGCATGTGCTTACTGTTTGCCTTTGCTCAACACAGCTTGTCATTGTCATAGCTTCTCCACTGCAACTGTGTCTTCAGTACTTTCTAAATAAATTCATCTTGTGATGTGATATTTCTGTATCAAATATCAGGTGTCAGTGAAGCTTGTGAGTGTAGTTCTTCATGTGGCCCATCATGGCGACCTACAAGAACATGGCGGACTTTCAGAAGAAGTTTTCCTTGAGCTGCATTCGGTCAAGAACTGATTTTCTGCATAGTATCAAGTGGGCTTCTCTCCAGTCGACTGATCCCTACCCGGACCACCCGTCCTTGAAAGGCATCTTATTTGCTATGCATTCAAACCTTTTGCCTGAAGAGTACACGTGCAAAACGTGTGGTGGCTCCTTTCATTTACGCTGTCGGCTACGTGCAGACCGACAGTCCTGGGATTGGACCTCCCACAGTCGAGCTTGTGATGATTGCGCCCGCACCTCACAGTCTTTGACATCAGGAACTGTTCTTCAAGGCATCAAGGCGAAGAATTTCTTGAATTTCTTTGATTGCCTGTGCATGTGGAGCTTTGACTACCCATCTTGGATCATTACCAGAGAAGCAGGTGTCTGGCACCAGCAGCTCAACCAATGGGAAGAAGTCTTTCATCAAGCAGTGAATGCAGACCTTTGGCACTATGCAACTTCTTTCAGTCTCACTTCGACACCCCTGAAGTCAGCGAATCATGTTCGGAAAATTAAGAAAACTGTCATGAAGAAGCACTCTGCCACCATCAAAAGACCTTCAGCCAGCTCCAGTACTGTCATGAAGAAGCCCTCTGGTGCCTGCAAACGACCTGCTGGAAATAAAAGGTTTAAGCCGCACTCACAGAAGAAGACTCCAGATGCTATGTCTTTCTACAAGAAGTACAAGTATGTGGTTGAAGTTGATGAGTCTCATTTGAACAAGTTGCGAAGCGGTGCTCTGACAAAAAGTTGCCGCGCAGAAACTGATCAGGTTTGGGTGTGGGGTGCTACCGTTCCCGGCAGGCCAGAACGTTTCATATTTCGTGTCTTGGATCACCCACAAGATGCTATGGATGGCAAGCCTCGAGGTCAGGCTGAGATTCTTGATTGCCTTCGCCTTCTCAACCTGCAACCCAAGACCATCATTGTGACCGATGGATGGAAGGCAACGATAGCGGCTATCAAAGATCTAAGAAAAGAAAAGGGGTGGACTAATGCAGATTTGTGGCATGAAATCGTGAACCATAGCGCAGGAGAAATCACCAATTCCAATGGATTCACTACGAATCACATTGAAAACCGTTGGTCACTTGTAAAAAGATGGATTCGCAAGCGTGAAGGTGGCCGCTTGCCTTCACACAGCAACCGCCAAAGGTGGAAATGCCTTTTAAATGAATATCGGTGGCGAAAAATGCACACCAAAGGTAGCAAACATGTCTACGTAGTGCCCTTGACCACCACAATGGAAGCCATGCAGCGCGTGCACCAGCTCTAGCCTAATGCTCACAAAAGCTTTGGAAAAAAGAAAACCTTTTCCTTTACATCTGGACGGTTTGTGTTTGCTTGCTGTTCACTTGCTTCTGTCTTGCCGGCAAGTCACACGCATATGTTTGTGAGACACACACACACATATATATATATGGCTATATATGGATAACCATTTTATGGTTTACTAAAATCCTTTTTGGAGATTTCTTGTTGTCGACACTGAGCTTGTTGCACGTGCAACTTGTGTGCATATATTCTGTAGGCATTTCCCCTCAGCATAGTCATTGCTTCGTACTCAGACTCTTTAATACTGATAGATCATGCCGAAGTCTCCGCGCATGCAGCTCTCTGTGGAAGCCTACATGAACGAACGACAGCACATTACTTTGGAGCTCATGGGCAATGTGTCTCAAAGCGCTTCTTCAGAGCCTACTTCTTTTCCTGATGCAGCTGACATCGTGGAAAACATTCACAATGGAACCATTGCTGTGCATAGTGACAGGGCGGCAGTCACCAAAAAGCAAATTCAGATCCAAATCAACACCATCAGACGCAACGCAGTCAACCAGGGAACCCTGGCACAAGGTTCTGCTTGGTCGAGTCAATGCCAGACGGCGTTGATGTCTTGGTTACAAACCAAGAAAGATGGTCGTGCTCGCTCGGCATCAACTTCCCAAGGCAGTGTTCCAATGCTTGCTCTTCCTGCACCTGTTCCTCCTGCAGCAGATATGTCCATTGATGAGCACCAGGGCAATGGAGGTAATGGTTCTGATTCTACTTCTTCGGATTCATCATCGTCTTCTACATCAGATGAACAGGAGGCAACGCCAATGTCAACATCTGCACCCAAGGTTCCTTTGACCCAAGACGAACGCGTACTTCTTGAAGAATTGCTTGAAGCAGTCCATGTGCATCAAGACATTGAAGAAGAAAACGATCGTCTCCGGCATGAAAATGAACTTCTCAAGCAGGAACTTGCCCAACTGAAGCGCGCGCACTTCTTGTAGTTAGGAACTACTGTCTGACTGTCTGAGAAAATTAGTCAAAGCGCGCGCGGCCGAAACCATCACGGAACCATATATATATATTGGAACTGGGTCGTGACATATCACCTGTCCTCCCTGTCCTTCCATAACCAGAACTAGCAGGATGCACCCGCGAGAAATGTCTGGTCTCTGCTTGACCAAAGTCCGAAATCTCAGGGTCTCGACGATCAAGTGAAGCTATATATTAGTGCCCTTTGCTCCTAGTAGCGATGCCCTTTGTTACTAGTAGCTTCTTGTTACTAGTAGTAAGGCCAGGAGCTACTAGTAGCGTCAAGTGAATTCAGGGGCAACTTACCCTCCGGTCGATGTTCGGCTTGATCCACCTCGACTCAGCTGCTCTGCCTCGGTCAGAGACGAGTCCAGGCAAATCTCAGGTTTTTGTTCATGTCGTTTCCAAGCAATGGCAGTTACGGGGCATCCTTCACGACCTCGCTACCCTCAGTTCAAGACGTTGGAACAGTGAGAACTTCGCCTAACCTAACCTACGCTTGTTGTGCCGATCGATCTTTGCTGGACACAGGATGATTCCACCAAAGGAAAAGAGCTATTGACCACCCATGAATATCCAGGGAATCCCCAGCAATCTCTATCAACGAGATCATTGTAGTACGCGGCCAATGAAACACGGCTTGTTGCTGTTCCTCGCCAACCGAGGCCCTCCTCAAACATAAACACCTCTCAACTGCTGAATCGGCATTTTTCTGCATGTCCACTGCATCACCAAGAAGCTGCTTCCACTGTTCGTGTGCCCAACCTGGCGATTTTCAAGGACCAAAACATTGCCCAAAAAAAAGAAGAGCAATAATGACACCTCAGCTATTGGAGAGTTGCCCGATTCAGTGGTTGCTTGAACAAGAATAACAGCCATAGATTCACTTGTTCATCTTGCTTTTGCTTCTCTGTTTGCTTTCTTCAGGTTGAGCTGGTGAAGATCAACGACCTGGGGGCAAGCAATTCACTTCATTCTTTAGTAGTGATTTTCTCTTCAGCATCGCTGATTTGAGGCGTTCTGGGTCATGTTCTGGAGTGGATCCCGGAATCCTACAGAACAGCTGGAACGGCCCACTGGCAACCTTTGACACTCCACAAAAAAGAGGGAGGCCAACAAAGCGGCTTGCATTCTGTGTTTCCCTCCATGGCATAACGTGTTGTTTGATTTTGGTTAAAACAATTCAATACTCACGAAGTAACAGCCAAACTGGAAAATAGAAAGCAAGTGTCAAAAAAAAACAATACAGTAATAATAACAATAATAAACAATAACAAATAACCATAATTATTATTGTTATATATATATATGTATAACAGCCTCGGCGATTTCCTCTGAAACAAATTCGATTTGCCATCGCCTCGCAGCAACCTCGGCCGCCTGCGCGGCTGCAAGGGCCTCAGCATGCGAAGCGATGGCAGGTGGGGCGAGTGACCCAAAGGGCTTTGGATTCTGAGGACTTCCATGTGCTCAGAACACTCGACGATCTTCATCCCGATAGAGAAACAGGGCTTGGACGGTACAGCAAATGCTGTGCAAAGAAGTAGGACGTCAAAAACCCGCTTTTCAAAGCTCTGCGCTGGAGAATCGAAGAAAATCGGAGACGTTGTCCAAATGGATATCTGAGTTGGTCATGGCATTCGCCAGTTTTGGTCAACCCCCATTGGTACCAAAATTGACGTCACAAGCATGTCAAGTGCCAGTGCACCTTGTTTGCCCACAAGCCAAATTTAACAGTTTAAGGTCCGTCCGTGCAGCTGTCCTGACAGAGGCGCTAAAAGCACAGCTGAGCTTCAGTTACATCTATGACCAGGCTGTGTCAACAAAATGCTGAAATTATTTGAAATTGCAACATCAAGTCGAGCCACTGCCGCAGGCGCACCACCTGCGCATGATTCCAACTCACGAGCAATACACGCATCCTTTGATAGCTACTTGTAGACTCTGGCGGGTCCTACCAATATGTATTATCCACAAATCAAAGATCTTGAAGTCTTGAAGTTTTTTTAATTCCAGGCGTACCTTGCGACAGTCCCTTGAAGCTGTTAAAGTAGCTCAAGAACGATGACATCTACTTGGTGATAGAAATGTATTTTAAGAATACCTGCCCAAACTGGTGCCTGCGCCAGGAGCCATGGCAGCACAGATCGAACATCCGTAGTAAGTTGTGTCTTGTGGGACAAGTCTACCGGCTCAAGCAGTAATCGAAACTCAGAAAAAAACGCCTGAAGTTTACTTGGCGCGATTCCAACGCTTCACAAGAATCAGTTCAACAGTTTCATCCCTGTCTCTGGCAGGGTGTTCCTCTTGAATTTTGGCCGCATAAGTACAAGAGTAACTGTTGCTTGATCAAACCCAGCTCTTCAGTGCAAAAATACACCACTGGGAGCTGTGGTCTCCGTCCAAGACCATACTACTACGCCTGCTTCCTCAAGCGGATGGTGGCCCTCCCCCTTCGTTGTGAGGCACGTGCGTTCCTTCAAACTGCTTTCATTGGGATTCCAATCAACCATGCGGAGTTCCATGAGTTCCATGAGCTCCATGTTAACATGGCTTTGACTGGAGCGGAGCAGACGGTTTGATCAAGTCCGAAGCCAATCGTCAAAACGTGCAAAGTGCAACTCTTGGCAGAAATGGCGGCCTCTGAGTTCGCCGATCTTGTTCATCACTCAAACAAAGACAAGCTTCATGAAAATGAAATTGTGACAGTAACTCGACATGAACCTTCCCATAGGGTTCTAGGCCTCGCAAACTTTTCTCCCCGTAGCCGATCTTCGTCCAGGGGATCATCAACTGAGACCTCAGGATGGGTCACGTTTTGACCCAATGACCGTAAAAAAATGATACTCCGCAATGAGACACGCAGGGAATTGCAGGGACTTGTCACATGAAGCAAGACATCTGAACTTATGAGCCCATAAGTCTGCGAAAAAGAGAACTCTGAGTGGGCTCCAAGAAAGCACTCAACCACCTTGAAACTCATGCAAAAGAGTTGTCAGATCGGGCACCTGAAAAATATGATTGCAGTCGCCAAGACAAGTGGACATGAGGCCACTCAAACCTATCGAAACCTTGGAGGAGTGAGAAGCTATCCATCCAGAAGGTCGTGTCTATCGGTTTCAAAGTCTGCATATCCAAATGTTCGCCCAACCCAACTCAGACTTGAAGAGCTCGTGCTTGGGTGAAAAAAGCACATCGTGCTCTTGTGTCATGTTCCGCAGGCCTTGTTGGACAGAGACTGCGTATGACGCACCGACATGAATGAGTCAACAGGGAGACAGCCTGTGAAACACAAGCAACCCTTGTGGTGAGAAAATGAAAGATTGACCTTGAGGATGGAACCCCACTCACCCGCCTCTCCCCAGAAAGGCCAGGTTGGCTCATCTCTGTCAGTCGACAAATGACAGATGCCCAAAAGGATCTGGAAGGGTCGAGGTTTTGACCTTCCACCCCACATTCACCAAAAAACCTCCTCCGCAGCTCCGCGCCTGCCCATGTTGGGCTTTGGCCTGGAACAAAAGCGGACCACAAGAAAGGTCTTGTCTGCTTCTTCGTGAACAGAGGCCCCCATCCTGTGGAAAAGAACCAAAAGCTTGGTCCATTGCTGATCTTTATTCTGACAACCCCCTGTTGGAGACTCTCAACGACTCGAAAATTCCCCCTATTCATCGACGGCCTCCAATCTCAAGCTCCGGTGCGGGAGCCATCTTCACCTTGCATTGCCTTCACCTTGGACCAAGCTACTAAGCTGGAGTCAAAACAGCCACACACCCAGCACAGCTTGGAGGGTAAACACTTATTACTATCTGTCTGTTCTTGCGTGTTTTCCGCACAAAAACTTCGCCCCTGCAGTGGCGCTTCAGGCGGCAAACTCACGTAACAAAAAAATCTTCCCAAGACCTTTTCAGCGCAACTCTCAGAGGGCCACGTGGTCTGCTTTCAAGACATGGCTCCTGAGCCCAAGAAAGACACCATGCCGAAGCGGAGCAAAGTCATGGTCTTCATGGATTCGTGGATGGCAGGCCCCAAAAGGAAGGCTTACTACTAGTAACAAGAAGCTATTAGAAACAATAAGCTAATAGCTTCTTGTTACTACTAGTAAGGCACTCGTTACTACTAGTAAGGCACTTGTTACTAGTAGCTTATTGGTTCAAACTAGCAAACATTGTAAAATATGTTTATTCTAACAAACAGCTGGTGAACTTCACTCTTGTCACACTTGTGGAACGTGTCTTCATTCGAGGGTATACCTGCACAACTCGAGACCCTCCCTGATGTCATCTCCTCCTCTCTCTCTCTCTCTCTCTCTCTCTGCCCCCCCTCCCTGTGGCACCAGTCAGATTGAAGATGCAAAGCCGAGGCTCTTTAGCTGGCTATGATCCTGCGACAGCTCGTCCAATGATTGCCTTCCAGTGTTGCGACGGTGGACATCCGCGGACAGGCATGGTTTAAGCTATCAACGAAGCATTCTAGTCAAGCTATATGCCGCGCACATGTTGTAGAAAAAACTTGAAACTGCGCAACAAACAAGTGAGATGTCCCCAACCCAAAAGGCTCTCACCACATGTGGCCTCAGACCCAAAGACTTCTCCATATGCTCCAGCGAAATCCTGGAGGTTGTTCTGAACGGCAAAACCGCCATAAGAATGTATTTGCGATGAGCAGCGACAGTAGTTAGCAGCAAATCGTTTCTAAAAACGGAGGTTTGCATGCAATGCTACAGTTTGTCGGATTTCTGTTTCTCTGTGGTATTTCCTCTCGTGGTTTCTGAAGATCCAATCGATAACAGGTTGATTTCTGGTTTGACCGGTGAGGGTTTGTGGGAAGGTATGGAGATGTGAGCAATTTTTCCAGTGTAGATCCCAAACAAGAAACCACGGAAGAACATCCGTTCAAACGAGTAAGAACCCCTCACAAACAAACCTGTTTGCGAAATGAAGTTATATGTGTTTGTTAACCCTCGAGTGAGCCTGAAAAGTCTGAAAGGCGCGGAAAAATGGAGGGGAAGCTAACATGGAACTGCCAATCAATCTCTTAAGAACCCTCTATGTAATCTATTTCGTAGAGATTGGCCTGAGCTCTTTCCTGAAACCTCGTGCCTTGTGCTGCAACTGCTCAGCGAGTCAGCAGTTGCTTGGCATTTGATCACTTGCTCCTCAGCATGACTCTCTGAAGGTGCTGGGTGATGATTTAGGAAGGAGCTTGGACTGGTGAAATGCCAATAGGTGCATCGCATTCAGGAAACTATGCCCACAGTGGGATTTGAGCTCTTTTGAGACCTGGTGGCCCATGCAAATATGCAGCACCCATGATTCTGATGACTGCAGAGGCCAAACTTGCACCGGCCGATGCTGTCTGAATGGTAGTTCTCTTCCAAGTTACTTCCAAGTTACAGGGAATGGAGGCTAGGGTGACTACGCAATGAGGTAGGTAGGTTTCTTCCGCTTTCACCACATTCCCCTCTTCCTCTACAACAGCCCGATCTCCAAAAGATTGGGCCTTGAATCAAGAAAAGGTCTCTAAGTTCGGTGCGTCCTGCAGAACCTTCGGGATTCCTCCTATATATAAAATCTGCTTCCAAGGCTGAAGTCTTTGAGCTCACAAAGCCGCAAGGCCCAGGCATCGATATGCTGCAGCACCCGCCCATGCAATTCCTGGCAGGCGCTCCAACATCTGAGGAAATCCGTTCACCTCAGGTTCTGATCAACTGTGCTTCCGTTTCCAACAACACAATGGATATTCGGAAAGCAAAAAAACAAGGATCACTTTTCAAGAACCAAACCACAAAGGCTCCGGTCGATGAGATGCCTTAGACTTCATATGCTTGAACCACAATGTGGCAGGCATATCTTTCCATGCAGCCTTTGCTTGTCATCCAAAGTAATCAGCCCTTGCAAGGTCACCTCCGAAAAGATGTGCTGTGCGTTTGCAGCGGCCCCGAACAAAATTCTGGGCACTTCAGACTCTGAAAGCAAGATCACATAAAGTCAGCTTCAGCTAAAGTGAGCTTAAAACATTCAGCATAAAGTAAGCCTCAGCTCAGGTTGTGGACCTGCCTTGATGGGATGCTCAATAGTTTAACCAATTGTACCCGGGTATGCAGACTTCTTTGTTGTGCTGGGCTTTCTCATTCCCCAACCGTCGCTGTGGCGTAAGATTGGCCGAAGCAGAAAATGGGGACAGGCATTCGGCTGTGGACAGCCACTCGTGGAAGCTTGTTGAAAAGCGCGAGGCCGCGCAGTCTTTAAGGAGGTGAGGGCGAGGAAGCTGCCAGTGTAGATACCAATCTATAGTATACAGTATATGTATATGATATACTGTATATGTATATTATGCAAGTCTGTTCTTACACTGAACATCCAAAAAAACAAAAAGTGATTAAAGACCCTCTCAGCCCATCCCTCTCCTCTGTAACTCGGCGATCCTGTTGGCGCTGGGACTGGAACCTCAGCAGCAAGAAAGACTTGAGTATATAAATCATCTGATGTTCTTCTGATCCCATTCAGTACTAGATGGTGTTCCTAGTGTTCTGATTCTGATCACATAGCTTTCGAACCCATTTGGGTGTTGGTGTATTATATATTCCTACGCGTTTTTGGCGTTGCTTTCAGGTGCACTGCCGTTTGTCTGTTTCGGAAAAGGTTAAACGTCGCGGAAACATCTGAAAATACCCCCTTTGCCGTGAAAAACTTCGATCTACGGGCCTACCTAGACTGCACAACCTGTGGCTCGGATGTACAAAGGAAAGAGGTGGTCTACCCATCTTTTCCAAAACCGCGCTGCATCTGTTCAAAGACTTGCTGGGGATCCGGTGCTCTTCGAAGCGCTCCTCTTGCTGCTGCACTCGTTTCCCAAGCTCCTAGAAACGCAGAACGTAAATGAAGGAAATGCACATTCTCATCCAGTCGCCGGAGGTCCACTTTTCTTTTCCACAACGAGGAACCCTCAACTGTCCATGAAACGTTCACTGACGTCAGACATGTGTGGTTGCAGGGTCCCCCATCCATGACAAAGAAGGCTGACTCGAAGCAGAGCACCGATGGTTCGACTCGTTAGATGTCAAGGTCCACCCAACATTTTTGGGGGCCGCGTTAACAAAGCCCTTCAGAAGCATCGGCAATTTCATGTCAGAATCTCTTCTGCCCCCGAAAGAAACAAGTGGAGGTCCATTAAGATTCCCTTGTGGTAGTCCGTTGTCCTCTGGTGAGTGCGATCTCTCTGCATGTAAGACAAAGACTGGAGAAGGTTGGACGAGGGCATCTACAGCTTCGTGCGGCGTATAGCATTCATAGCTTGAGATGGTCAAAGGAATCTTTACTTGAAGCTCTGGTGATGACAGAAGCTACAAGTACTTGCTGAAACAGTGATTTCTTGTTGGAGGTCCATGCCAGTACACACATCATCTCATACATGCGACCCACGATCTGTGCCATGAGAACAAAGCACTGCTGACTCCTTGAGCTTTGCCTGCTCTTGCTCCAAAAGCTTACAGAACTTCAGCAACTCCTGATCTTGTTGATTTACACCTCAGCTGCACTGCCGAAGCAAAAAGACAAAGGAGCCAGGAAATCAGACATCGATCTATAATCAACTTGTCAAACTAGTTGACATAATTCAAGACTTCGAACCAAATGCATGACAGCGCTTGTTGGGCACCCGGTTGGGCACCCGGTTGGGCACCCGGGCTTGAGACCGCATCGTCCAGCTCTTTAAAAGTCGACTGCTGACGGTACAGGGTCTTCTTTAAAACATTCAGCTCCTGGCAGTACTGAAAAAATAACAAAATGACACAATGATCTTGTTTTGTATGCTATTAGGTCATCAAGACTGTCTTTGCGGGGCCAATTTTGTTTGTATTGCAAGTGCTTCTACATCCCGTTCCCCAGGCCAAATTCCCAATTGTACGTCAAATGTAGTTGCCTGGCCGAACAATGCAGCTGTCGTGACTCAACTCTCCCCATTCCAAACATGGCAGGCTTCCTCCTCCATACGCTGCCGGATTGTAGCACCTCAGCAATCAAAGCCAGAGCCACCATCCCGCTGGCAATCTGCTTTGTTGTCACACGTATGCGGTATAACACCCACCAACCGATTGGGCAAAGAAGCTTCTCTGAAACAAGCCTGATGAATATCATGTACGCCTATTTGGCTTTGTTGTTATATGTTCAGGGGAGGAGCTATTGGTGCTACAATTGTTGCACGTCACTACTGCTGTCATAGGTCATGTGGTTGCGCGTTGTCGCCAATCTTGATTGTCCTCGCTTGATTGTGGGATCTTGTCATGTCATCTCTGCTGCCACTTGTAAAATTCTGGTGGGACCCTTGGACAGGCAATGCTGCCCAAAGTGCCCCATTCAGTTTGAAAGAAGAGAAACTTCAAGAATCTAAAACCCCTCCAAACCTCTCCATGTTGAACATTGCGTTGAGCGCCTCCAGGGCTGCTCCCGTTGTCAAACCCAACTCTGAGCACACTTCTGTGGTGGTGCCCAACACCAAGGGAGCTGATGACCCTTTCTTTTGACTGGCGCAGTGATAAGACCAGTTGGAGCCAAAGCTATCAGCCACTGCAGCAGATTTGTGCTTATTATTGACTACAAACACGGTCTGCTCATCTTCATCATACTCGTCATCCTTCTCGAACAACGCTCCACCACTCGTCTCCAGCTCGCTTCGTCAACCTGTAGGACCTGACATCCGTGGCCTCATCAGCACCAGGTATCCCTTGTGTCATATGCACGTCACGTTTCGGAGTGCCAATGTAGCGATGTGACGCCGCGTGAGGGGGGCGACGAAATGGAATCTGGATTGAGAACTCTGTTTTCTTGGAACAAGGAGTCGGCCTTTTGCTTGGTTGTGAAGCAGCTATGAAGAATAGTTAGGGGGCCCACCAAAGCAATCAACGTAGATGTCCAAGATGTTTGTTTGTTTGTTTGTTTGTTTGTTTGCTTGCTTGCTTGCTTGCTTGCTTGCTTGCTTGCTGCTTGCTTGCTTGCTTGCTTGCTTGGTTGGTTGGTTGGTTGGTTGGTTGTTTGTTTTGCGTGTGCAATCACAACCTCACTTAGGATCATTCAATCTGAGGATATGGGTGATATGATATGGGGCAAATAAATTACCGTCCAGAAACAAAAATGTTTGCTGGCCAAAACTTAGAAACACTCTACACACTCTACATGATGTCATTTCCCACTCAACGTCAGTTCCGGCTTGCTCAAATACAGAGCTTCCCTACAGAACCTGTGGACCTACTCAGGGATTCCCCCTTCTACTTTGCCCGGCTTTGCCCCTTTGATTCCAGTGGCGATCCATCATGGCAAAGTCCAACTTAGTGTGAGCTTCCGAGGCCGTCGCGAAGACCTCCAAGGCGATGGAACGCCATTGAATTCGTGTGGCAAGACCAACTCCCGGGTTTCCAAGGTCTGTTCTTGATCTGACGCCTTCCACAAAAATACAAGGCTAAGAACTTCTCTGGAGCTTGATCCCGAAACCTGCCTGCGCAACTGATGTTTTGGGCGCGAATTCCTCCCAGATTCCTCAGTGAAACAAATCAACTCCAACAAGTCTCACGAACACATCCTGCTACCTTGGCAACATCGATCAGCCCAAGCTTGTGAAAAGCTGGCACCACTGGTCTACTTGCCAGCTTTGATCATCTAAAGCGCACAGCCTTTTCGACACTCCGCGTTTGACTACTGTAGACGCTCAACCAATTCGGTCTCCTTTTCGGTCGACCGAACGATCCTCCGGGGTTCTCACGATGCTCCAAGGCCGCCAAGTCGGATCGAAAGCTCTGAGAGCCATCCTCTTGCACCTCGCGTGACTGGCGGAGCCCGAGAGTTGACTCAACTGGGGTGGACGGACGCATCCGCCAAGCATCCCCAGATTCCAAAATCGGAAAGCATTGAGAATTTGGAGGGGGGTTGGGAGACGTGGATATGATTGCGACATCACCAGCCTCTCGATCTCATGGGATCCAACCTCTTAGCTTTCTGAAACAAATGGAGGCCCTGAATGCGGAGCGCGGCACAATGCTCTGCCCGCCTTGATGAGAATCTCTTGTTTCTCGACCTGCGATCCTGGGCGGAAAGTCTTCGCGTGTGTGTGTGAGAGAGAGAGAGAGAAAAAAAAAAGAAACAGAAAAAATAAGAGCGCAACTTCTGCAAAGGATGGTTGAGCATGATGGAATTCAGTTCATCCAGTCTTTTCGAACAAATTGGCTTTTGCCAGGGCCACGGGTGCTGTTTCTTGCTGCAGAAACTGCTTGACCTTCCACAGGCTATGTGTGAAGTGTCTTCCGACGTTTTCATCTTGGCTAAGCATCGTTGAGACTGCAACTCCCGTAGTATCTCTTTGGAATGGAGCTGCAGCACCTCCAGCGTTTTATCCAGGCGTTGCATGTCTCCCCAGGGTTGTCTTTCCAAACCTAAACTTCAAAGCCTTTCAAGGCCCCCGAACGGTTGCAAATCTGGCAACAATAGGAAGTGGGATGCAACTATTGATCATCAGTAAAAACTGGTTTCAGTGAACAAAGGACCAAACCTGCAAATAGTTTTTTCAAACAACATTTGCGGCACCATATGCCTATTCTTTCCCAGCGCAACAGCCAAAAACGTGATGAAAGCTACAAATGTTTGTGGTGGCCCTGAACCTGAAGGGCTGCACCGATTGAATCTCTGGTCTTCCATGGTCTTCTGCTGGTTACTGGTTGACTTGCTGGCAGACTCCGAAAAACTGAATGAGTCCCTGGCTGCGGGTACTCTTTCGCAGCATGATATTACCGATAAATCACTCGATTGATAATAACGAACTACGACATTTCCTGCTGCTCCCATCGATCGAGAAAATATCAAGAACACCCAGCTTCAACCACCTCTACAACATCCACGCCCCTCAGCACGTGCGTGTTGCACCGGGCTGCAGCACCTCGAGCGCCGCCTGCATCTCCTGATTGTGCACCTCGCGTAACTCAAGGCCTTTTCGCAAGGCAGTACCTGCCACAGGAAATCGTGTGTGTGTAACCCGCTCGTACACGCGGTTGACGAGTTTTTTTAAGTTGTATCGACTATTGAGAGAGGGGGCTGGAGTGTGTTTCAGAAGTCTCCAGCCAACGAAGACGCATCTGTTGCACTGTGACCGATTTCTGGGACGCCAGAATTACGTACCTGCTGAGTGATCACTTTCAAATTGTTGGGCCCTACTTGTTACTAAAACGACCTTGGTGGATTCGGCTCTTTTGACCTGATCGACGGCGTCGCGGACTTAACTCGACCTGCGTTCTCTGAGCTTCAAGGACGTCTACTTAGAAGGTTCTGGGCTTTGACATCACCCTAACGTTCCAACTTCAAGACTCATTCCCCAGTGTGTTGAGGGTGCATGCCAGAATTGGCGACACCGTCGAGACCCTTCGTCGGACTCTATAGCTGGCACGGGCCTTCCCGCGAGAAGCAACGGGTCCTCGTCCAGAGGTTCCAGAATTTAGCACACCAATGTGGTGTTGACTCAGTTGACTAGTTGCTCACATGCGGAAGACACAGTCTTCAGACAGACTGTTCTTAGCTGCAATCAAGCGCAGTTGCAAAGCGGCAGAAGCTGCCATCGAGCGCAGTTGCAAAGCGGCAGAAGTCGATTTGATTGATTACTTCAGTGCTTTGCACTCGTTGCCCGGATCTCAAGCTCAGCCTTGCACTTGAGCTTTTGGCCTCACTTCCGTTTAAGACCCACAGGATCTGTGGGCTTCCCTGCAGACTTGCACTTGAGTTTTTGGCCTCACTTCCGTTTAAGACGCCCAGGATCCTTTGGGTGTCTCTGCAGACTTGCACTTGAGCTCTGATCGAACCAAGGCGCTCATTTCTGCGGTTTAATTTAAATCTTATCGACTTTTGAGAGCGGGGGGATTGATTACTTCAGCGCATTGCACTCGTCGCACGGACCTCAAGCTCAGTGTCCTAACTAAAACAGGTAGTTTTACTTACGTTTATGTCTCTCATGACTTACTCTCGCACTTGAGCTTTCGGCCTCACTTCCGTTTCAGACCCCAGGGTCCTTTGGGTTTCTTTGCAGGCTTGCACTTGAGCTTTTGGCCTCACTTCCGTTTAAAGACCCCCAGGATCCTTTGGGTTTCTCTGCAGACTTGCACTTGAGCTTTTGGCCTCACTTCCGTTTAAGACCCCCAGGGTCCTTTGAGTTTCTCTCCCGACTTGCACTTGAGCTTTTGGCCTCACTTCCGTTTAAGACCACAAGGATCCTTTGGGTTTCTCTGCAGGCTCGCACTTGAACTCCGATCGAACCAAGGCACTCATTTCTGAGCCTTTCAAACTAAGGGCGCTAACGAGACCCACCGGTTTGGACCGTATTCGGCGTCGGCCTGATTGAATTTCGGGACAGTACAATCACAGACGTCACTGTTGTGCATAGGCCCACTCATGAAGTCTGAGCCCTCCACAGGGAGGGCCATGTGTGTGTAACCCGCTCGTACACGCGGTTGACGAGTTTCTTTAAACTGTATCGACTATTGAGAGCAGGGGGCTGGAGTGTGCTTCAGATGTCTCCAGCCAACGAAGACGCATCTGTTGCACTGTGACCGATTTCCGGGACGCCAGAATTACGTACCTGCTGAGTGATCACTTTCAAATTTTTGGGCCCTACTTGTTACTAAAACGACCTTGGTGGATTCGGCTCTTTTGACCTGATCGACGGCGTCGCGGACTTAACTCGACCTGCGTTCTCTGAGCTTCAAGGACGTCTACTTAGAAGGTTCTGGGCTTTGACATCACCCTAACGTTCCAACTTCAAGACTCATTCCCCAGTGTGTGAAACCCTTGGAATCACAGCAAATCAGTTGATTCGTTACTTCTGACTTTTCGATTTGATGTAGCAGGGGCACACGGCATCCATGACCTACCCTGTCCAACGAAGCTACGGTCAAGGATGGGAAGGGAAGGCTGATCACCTTCCTGTACCTGTGTTGTACTCGAGAACTTCCCACTCGGTCCGGTTGTATCTAAAACAAGCTGACCAGCCATCGCATCCGTTCCATTACCGCAGTCACACACTTTGACTTCTTTGGACTTGGCAATTTGGGAGGCTTCAAGGCTTCACGGAGGTCATTTACAACTATCAGGTTTCAGCTTACCTGGATTCTTAGGTTTTTTACTTAGGCTGGCGTGTGGCAAACCGCAATCGTGTCAGTACGCATTATCTTAAGTGTGTGTGCGGTCATCCAATGAAATCCGCCGAACTTCTCATGGATGAATGGAATATGTCTCAGACATGGAGGTTCTGGCACAGAATGTCTCAGACTTCTTCTGGTAGAGGGTCACGGAGCTTTGAAAAGCCAGCGAGAGTGCTGAAAGCAGGAGGCAGTATGCAGTTGTTTTCAATTTAGAGTCCATGATTGTGTGTATTGGCAAGACCTAGGATTTGTTATATAATTTGAAAGCATACACAAGGGCGTTGTTAAACTTGCAGATCGAAAATCAAGGGCGCTCTCTTCATTGTACTCCTTCTTGTGCAGGTAGGTGTCTTGCACATGGCAAGCAAATTCCTGTCCGATCCGACCGTCCACTAACGGATCCAAAACGCCAATGGTGCGCGGGTCCATCCACCCGAAACACCAACTCCTGCCTGCTGATCTGTGCAAGCTTGAACCAAGCCTGCAAACGGTTTATCTCACTTGCTTGGCCCCAAAGCTGCAAAGACTCAGCACTGCACTTCTCACGTATTTACCACTTCTCTTGGCATTCACCAGAGCCGGAGGCCGGAGGAACACAAAATACTCGACAACTATGTGCATCCCTTTCACCTGCTCAACCCAAACCCACTGCTTTGAATGCTTCACATCCCTTTGGTGGGAAGACAAAGAGAGCAGGATGCTGTGAGAGTGCACTGTCTTGTTTTGTTTTTGAATAATTCATAACTTTGGAAGGTCACAAAGTATTGACTATGCTGCTTTTTCACTCGCTAAGCTGCTTTGTCGTCAGAACTGAGATATATTGTACATATATGTCAAAACTGTTTAACACCAATCTTCAAACGGTTGCTCTTTCACGTAGTTCTCTACCCTTCCTTGCACGACTTGCTCCATAATTGTGCTCTTATTCAGCCCTTCTTTGTCTTGAAGCAGGTGTTCCCCATCTCTCACTTACTTCCTTTGGTATTTCTGAATGTTTAATTTCTCAAGGAGCTTTTCTCTAGGTCAACCAGTGTTCCATTTCCTGATTATCGCCTTGTATTCTTAAATGTTGGTATGCTTAAGAATATATATATAATATATTCAGAAACAAAAGAATGGAAACTATACTCAACAAAATTCAAAAGGGTTTATTGGACACTATCCTGGCAATCTACATACAAATATACATCTTTATTGAACTTTCTAGATACCTAGAGCCTAGAGCTATTGAATTTGTCGCTTCCTCATTTGGACCAAGGCCTGTGGTTCTGCTTTTTTGGCTCGTTTGTGCCCATTCCATATTCGTAGGATTACTCTTCCATTATATCCGTTTTTTGTCGGCGATACAGTGATACAATTCATATATTCTCCGCCTCTCTCCTCGACAAACTCTTCCTACTCTCAATAGGCCTCTCTCTCTCTTACTCCAGCAGTTTGCCTTTCTTACTACTGTGTACTCTTTCCATTCTCCAACATGTTCTTAAAGAGCACTGGGAACTCAACAACCAAAGCATCAACCAAGAGTCAGGTCAGATACAAGCGGATTTATTGGCCCTTTATCCCTACCGGAAGACCTGACCCTATCAGTCAATCATGCACTCCTCTACTTCAAGAGTCTTCTTGCTCTCTCTTTGAACTAAGGTTAGTTTGTTCTATGGGTAGCCCAGGTTCCTCTTAAATGCTGCTCGGTTTGCTTTCTCACGTCATGTCCACCACCTGAGTTTCTCCGATCGAAACCGGAGAAATAGCTAACGAATATTGCTGGTAGTTTTGCCATAAAGAATTTGGTAACAAGGCAAACTTCAGAAGAGAACAACTCTTCAAGAAGGAAAAGTATGCTTTAGAGTGGGAAAACCTGGCAAAGAAATGAGAGCCAACAATGAGAAAAAAAAGGCGGGAAGCATGGAAAACCATCAAGATCTAGTCAAGAGGCAAATGCAAAGAATGAAGATCAGTAAAAGGATGTGGATACTGTTTGGAAACTCAAGAAACTCAAGGGGGTTCCTGTCCAGGAGTCTGCATATAAGTGTGTTCAATGTTGTTTTTGTGTTTCCAACGTTTGGGCTACGTGTCAAAAAACGAACTCTATACCAAGATCATGGGAAGTGCTCTCATGGTTCTTGCATTCCTGTTGACTGGAGGCTCTTGAGCAGGAGCATTATTTTTCTCTCACCTTGCACCCTCGGCTGCACCAGAACACACTCGAGCTTAAACTCTACGTTGACGTGCAACCATTAAGATGTTACTGCTTGGAAACGCATGCCCATGATAATCTGTCTTGTTGCATCCACAGGATTTTCTGAGGACCCTCAAGTGACATGCATTCAGCTTTTTGCATAACCAGTGAAGTGTATGTACGGTTTCCAAGCGGTACAGCAGTTTACTTCTGATGACTGCATCATATTATGAAAAGCTTCAAGCCTCAGCCTGGTCCTCTTGGTGTCTTGGATGCATTGTGAGGAGCTTGCGTGCGATTTTTATGGTGTTGTTCAAAGCATTGCCCAAAAAGGTTGCGTCTTGAGCTCTTTAAAGGGGACTCCGTCTTCAAAATGGATACAGTAGTGGGTTCATAATACATGCGTATCGAATGGCTCTTGCTTCCGTTTATGTTCAGCGCATATAGTGTCCCATATGAAGTAGCAATTCGTTCAAGGCAAGAGGTTAAGTTGAAAAATGGAACAGTGTCATAGTAGATACTGTATCGACTTAAACCCGGGAATCTGCGCACTCAAAGCCTTACATCTGAATCAGGACACCAGCACATGTCATTACAAGTAGAAATATGTGAGGCCTCAATGGACAGCTAGTCTCTGTCCATGATTGGCCATATTCATCCTGGATGTAATAGGTGAAACTTTATGCTCGACTGCACTCTGGATTCTGGCTTCTGGCACCGACTAGAGATAAATGAAGTTTGCACAGCGCATTGGGTAAGGATATGGGCCTGTAGATTGAAGATTGTCTCCGGCAACCTTTTTGCAAGTTGGAACGACTCGTGCCAATAAGATGTCATGGGGAACAGCTGCACTAAAAATGTTTAAAAAAAACAAAAAAAGAGAAAAAAAAAACGTTTTGTTTACAGTATTCAACCCTTCTTACAATTCAACAACTATGTCGTCAGGATCCCGTTGCACAACGGGGGACTGTCACACTCTAGAGTGTCTCCTTAGCGGTCCACAACCACAATCAATGCGCCAATGATGTTCTTCTAGATAGGGGGCAATGGTCTCAGCACGTTCTTTGCATGCATGTTTGAAATCCTTTCTAAGATGATTGACCGTCTTCCGCAACTTGTTCCATCTCGCATTTTGTTTGGTTTGTTTTGTTTGTCTTGGCTTTTGAAATTTTAGACAATTCCACTTACAGTTTATGTTTGCAGTTGTCAATGTTTTCTCTGACAAATCCGCAGTGTATTGAATGACTGCAAAAGAAGCACTCTCACGGTTTGCTGCTTTAAAACAAAAAGAGTTGATTATCCATGGAAAATCCCAGGACACCCTCGGTCAGCTTCAGTGCTGCCACATTGCCTGCCTGCTTGCACTGCTGCCACATCCGTCCGCAAGGCATCAAGTTGAGCCGAGCACTGGAGCAAAAGACCTGCGCGACTGTGAAAAGGTGGTAGCTGACTGTAGCTGATGGACTGAGTGTCCATTGTGAGCTGAAACTGGAGGATTGCAGATGGTTGCACTCCAGTTCAGAAACTGAGTCCCTGCTCTTTAGAATAGAAATAGAGAGGAAACAAGCGGAGGCATCTTTGCACATGAAAAAAGGATATGTGTGTGTGTGAAACCCTTGGAGTCAGAGGGCTTCCATTGAAGTTTTGACATTTTGAGCAGGGGTTTTGAGCAGGGGTTTTGAGCAGGGGGTCAAGGTGCGATATCACCAACCTTGACCAACGAAGCTGGGTGATATTGCGGGATATGGGACTTGGCCAGTCCCATGTACCTGCTCTAGCCTACGAACCTAAGTCATGTATGTCGCAAACCGCACTCGTGTCATACGCTTTTTCTTGACTGTGGCAAGCCGCACTTGTGTCATACGCATTTTCTTGAGTGTGTGAAGCCCTTGAAATTGACTTGTCTACTTGCGATGGCCTCCTACCTAGTTGCGACGGCCTCCAATCTATATGGGACGACCTCCAGTGTGTGAAACCCTTGGAGTCACACCGCTGTCTTGCTGTCTTGTCTGCTTGCTGCTCACCTACTAGCGATGGCCCCCAACCCTTTGTGAGGGCCTCTCACCTTGGTTTGACGGCCTTCAACCTAAGTGCGATGGTCTCCAACCTAATACTCCAACCTAATACCTGACCTGTCCTCTTAGGCACCTGGTCCCTTAGGTTACCGTGGGGCGAGTGGCATTCACATCCGTACGCATTTCATCAAGTGTGTGAACATCCCGCCCCACCCAATCCCAAGCAAGTTCTTTAACGCCAAATCAAATCCATGGCTACAAACCTCAATACTACCCAGCCACCTGAAGCAACCTGGCGCAGCCTGTCTAATGTGTCCTAACCTTTGCGAAACTCCAAGCTCTGAAGATGGAGAATCCGCACCACTGCCCTGTGAGCATCCGCAGGACAATCAACCCTTTAAGCCTTTTTCCCGAAACTACGAAAACCGAGTCCACGACCACGTCACCAGCGAGTTCCGCAGTTCTAAAAACCCAGAAACGGCAGCGCAGCGAATGAGAAGGCGGTGCGCCTTCCATCTCATCTTTCTGCGCCGCCCGGCCTGCAATCTCCTGCTAAAGGGAGCTGGCAGCATTTCTCAAGGTAGTGGGATCAGACGTTTCACTGAACACACCAAGAACGACTGCTGGCAGCTCCCGCTAGAGGAAGCACGTGTCTTCATCATCTGTTGGCAATCCCAGTGCGCCAGCCAAGGATCCCAGACTGTCAGTCCAAGCTTCATGATCATTCCAGGTTGAGAATCTGCCAAGTAGTAGGGAAAAGGTACTACGGTAGTACTCTCATAAACTCTTGTGGAAAATCTGTGATCCATCCAGAAAGCCTCCAACCCCGCTCAAAAGCCACACACAAGTTTGGTCTTCTCCTCCAATTCCACGCTAAGATTCAGCGTTTCCTTGGACACCTGTTGTCCCAGACGCATTTCCAAGGCCATCAGCTCAGCCTTCCAAGAAATTGCCAGGCCAAAGAGCTCCCCGAGTTCGAGGCGCATTGTTGCACATCTAAAGAAAAGCACTTGACTCATGAAACAATCCACCCTAAAGCTTTAAATTGCGGAATGCGGAAGACAGTTGATGATTTGTCTGGAACTTTCTGCTGCGCTCCCTTGGTAAACTCTGACAGCAGTGCCTGAGAGGCAAGGCGACCTACCTCGCGGAAAAACGGCCAGGCTTCGAAACGAAAGCAGGGTACAACTTCAGCCATTTATCACAAACTCTGGTTCTATCAAAGCAAAAAGAAGCGAATCGAGGCAAGACCACATGAGCACATCACCACCACCATTCCTTGCTTCCTGCCTGTGCATCACCACCTCAGGCAAAGCACGGCACAAATAGACCCTCAGTACAAAGTCTCAAGGACGATGCTACACTTGTGGAAGCTAAAGGGTGTCGAGAAACAACGGATGGGCCTTTATCGGTCGTCTTGCAATGGGAACTAGCTGGAGGAAGCCCCACATCGTACATGCTTGCAGGACAAATCTCTGGATCCAAAGCAAGGGGATCTTCCAAGCTTCTGACCACAGCGATCAACCAGCTCCTCCCGTGACATCATGTGCAAGTTGAATCGATTGATGAACTGAAGGGCCATGAAGGGCCAAAAGCTGACTTGGTGACACCTGGTGAAAGCTGCCCCAGGGAAGACTCATGATGGAAACTGCGAAAGCAACCTGCTCTATGGAAAGGACCTGCACTGACTGTTTTCTGCCAAGAACTGGCGAGGTTGTCATCACAGGTGATATCGCGACCTTCACTTCAACTTCCACTTACATAAGTTTTGGGACTCATCTGTGTCTCAAGCAATATTCAGGTACCACGCAAACGACACAACTGCATCGGTACCGTCAGCAGTTGCGACCCCGACAGTCCTCCAAGTACAACAACTTTCTCCGACAACAGCAATGACTCATGTACTTACAGTCTCATGTCCTCCAAGCGAACTTCCAAGCTCGACAGCAATGGCTCTTGCCGACTCAAACGAGCCTGCACCTAGGACGGCCCAGCTCACCACTGCTCGAAAAAGTCAAAAAAAATAATCACAAAAAGTCAAAAAGGAATCACAAAAAGTCAAACTTGCAAAACAACAAGAAAAAAAAGTCAAACAAAAGTCACAAAAAGTCAACCATTCAAAAAAACAAAAAAAAAAACAAAAACAAACAAAAAAAGTTGGTGAACAAAAGTCAAAAAGAAAAGACTAATAAACAAAAATTTAGAAAAACACAAGTAAAGAAAAAGCCGGATCTGGGCAAATTGACTTTTTTGACTTTCCGAAACTTTCTGAATTGATGTTTTTTGACTTTGACTTTTGGGACTGCCTTTTTTTGGACTTGTTGTTGTTCTTTAAAAATTGTGAAAACAGGCTCTCTCCAATGAAAGATTTGTATAACTCCAGATCAAACGCCTGGAACTTATACTACCAACCAATTTCCCGGAAACACGACCTGTCCGTTCGGTTGGTCCGTACAGTTGAAAGTCACGGTGCCTTTTTGCTCGGTGGAGGACCGACGGTGAGGGAAAGGAAAGGCGGCACACGGAACAATGAGAGGTTCCCTCCGGCAAATCGTGCAGATTTACTATATATGCATCTATAGTATATAGAGTTTCTGCTTTGTGTCCCTGACCACAAGCGATTGAAAAATAGAACAGCAACATCACATACTAACAAGTGGTGGTCATCGACATGGACCTTCACTTAATGCGGAGCCAACGACATGAGTTGTTTGTCCTTTTTCGATTCGACGTGCGCATCTCGTGCGCCTCATCCAATCGTTGGGACAAGGCTTTGAGCTCCACGTCCAACTCGATCCGTGGCCTTGAGTTCGCCGGAGGGTGGTGCACCAATGATAACAACTAAGGTGGACACCAAGTACAAAACTATCAAACATCTGATGATCAATGAAGGAGCGAGACGGAAACAGAGCAGGAGATGGAGCTGACTACTCTGGCTCTCAACCTTTCTTGTATAGGCAGAATGGGATTCCACTCCACCTGTCAACACACTGGAACTATTGTTTGTTTCAGGACAAGGCATCATGATGCTAGTACAATAGTTTCAACTGCTGTGACCCAATACCTGGCTGGCTTACCTCCAGCAATCGAACATGGAAAGCAATGCGACCTTTGTATGCAAAATCAAAGGCACTTGACTCACTGCAGCAAACTATTTGACACATGTCCGAAGGTGTCCACGGCAACGAAGGATGCATCCCAATCTTGAGGCTCCCAACAACAATTTCTGACAAAGTGCAGGGAGGGGTGAGGAATTGGATGAAGCATCGCACAACGATCGCAAACAAAGGGTCTTTCAGGCAGCAAGACTGATGTGATGATCTGGTTCATTCCCATGGTTGCTGAGTTGGCGCAAAACTTCCATCAAACCATCAAACCTTTCCAACCACTTTTTCAAAACGGTCTTTCTTGACAAATCTCAAGAAAATTGAACCTCTAGGGACTTGACATTGCGGTCACTTTTGTCACTTGATCTGGTTCCACTGGCGTTGATTCAAACAACACCCAAAAATGTTCTTCTTTCAGCATTCGCTGCTTGATGCTATCCCTTTTTGCATCAGCATTGGGTGTCCACACACAAAATGTGGCCATGCCGAAGCCATTGCATGCGCGGATGGCTCCACAGATGCGAATGCAACCTTGCAGTTTCTTGTAACGTCTTTGACGAACATGTGTCTGTCTGCAACAGCAAGTTTCGGGTGGCGATGCAGCGTTCTCGGCTTCCTTCGGACCAACGTTACATGCTTTGTTCTCTGTGTCTTTGGTCGAAACACAACTGTGGGTTCATCTGGGCATCAAACCTCAATGCGTGCTTGAAAACTCTGGGGTGTCAAGCAGCATCCGCAGACAAATCTGTTTTAATCGGCACAAGAAAGACACATTCGTGCAGCAAATTTGCCTTTCGAATCCTACAGCACGGGTGTTCAAGGTTTCCACTGCAACTTGCAGATTTAAAAATGAACTTGAAACCAAGCGGTTGGACAATACGGAGGGTCCCAATGTTGTTTTTGCTGGCCTTCGTTTGGTTTTTGTTTGCAAATGTCCCTAAGGCATTGTTTGTCTTCCTCCAAACAAGATGCAAGTTCACCAGAAGGCTGTGGTTCGGTTGAAACTCTGTGGTTGGGTGGCCTCTGTCCAAAACAAATTCGACCCACCGGGCCCGGTCCACGACCGGTTCAAAGAGAAGGTACACTGTAAGAACTGACCAGTCATTGGAGTTTGTCTGGGAGCGCCATGGAACTTGGACTGCTTGGGAAGGACTCCCCAGGCCATTTGGTGGGACGGCCCCCACAACAGGTTGTGTTCTCACACAACACAATCCCCCCGGAGGCACCAAGGTCGACGATTGTCAATTGTTCCCACGAAGAGAAACGGTCCCAGGTCACCGTCTTCTGTGCACGCGTGCCAAAAAGAGTGCGGCAGGGTTGGATTGGTCTTGTTCATGCATCAAATTCCGTTTCGCCCACAGCAAGACGTCTCCAAAGCACCCGAATGTTTCTCCAGTCTGAATTTGGAGCATTGTTCCAGGATCAAAACACAGAAAAGACATCAATTGACATTTGTGTTGTTTTCATCTTTTTGCATGAGTGTTGCTGCCAGTCGTCGCAGAGAATGCGAAAGTCAGCTACTGAAGAGATTACAGATTTCCTGTCAAAAACCCAAAGCCACAAACAAAAACCAATACACAAACACCAAAACAAGAAACCAAAAAACAGCACAAGACCGACCAGACCAGGAAATCTTGTGGTCTCTCGGAGGTTTTTTCTCCGTGCACTTGAGTGAATTCAGTGTGAAACGAAGCTGGGCGTCGATTTTTTGCACGGATTTGGCTGCCAGTCATCGCAAAGAATGTGAAGGTCAGCTATTGCAGAGATCAAAGATTTCCGTCGCAATAGAGAAACGAAAAGGCACCAAAACCACCAAAAACCATCACACAAACAACCCACAACAAAACCAAACACAAACCATTTGGGGCTCACCTTGTTTCCAGGCTGATCTTGCACAGAATCGCTCGAAACTTTCTTTTTGCACGGGTGTAAACGCCATGTGTGCAGAGGTTGCATCTTGTGCTACTTATGAGTGAGTCTCCGGCCAGGGAAAGGACAACAAGCAACAAAACCCAAGCCAAAAACCAAAAAACACAACCCACAACCCAAACAAACAACAAAAAGCCATGGCCGGCAATGGGACTCAGGTACGTCATGCAAGTGTGAAACAGAACGGGGATCAGGTGAAAACTACTTGGGGCAGAATTAAGCAAAAAGGCCTCTCAGTTCTGGTTGCGAGCGTTTTTTTTGCACGGGTGGAGACGCCATGTGTGCAGAGGTTGCACAGGTCATCTTGTGCTGGTCAAGAGAGAGTTACCATCCAGGTTGCGGTGAAGGAAACCACCAGAAAAACCAGCAAAACAAACACAACCCCAACCAAAAACCCAAAAAGAAACCCCAAAAGAAAAACCGCAACCTGGGGTGCAGCTCAAAAGGCCGTGTCAGCCAAAATGAGAGGACGTGAAACAGGGGCAATGAATTCGTGCATCTTTGCCACCAGGGAGTGTTGGGTTGCAGTCCTTGTGGCAGTGTCACTTTTTCTTGGTGCTGTCTTGACCTGCTAGTCGGTGCTAGCAGCTTACAAAGGCTTCAAACTGTCGAAAGCACAGCTACAGCGCAGCCGATTCCATGCAGTAGGGAAGCTGGGACTTCCCCACAAAAGGGTCAACTCCTCCCCAAGGGGAGAAGGACAGAGATGCATCATGTGCTTGTAGCGGTGACTCCTAAACAGCTTTGCCACGGGAGTCACAGAAAGACAACGTCCCATAGAGGTCGATAGGGACTGGCTAGTAGCTCAGTGAGAGCTGCTTGGTGTGCATGTGCTTGGCATGAGTGAGCCGTCAGTTGAGTGCCTGTACCATGCAGTGCCCCTCTATCTGTGCGAAACGAAGGTGAAACGCCGTTACCCTGCATCTGGTGTGCCTCGAAGGCCTGTACTC